GAGACCTATGGAAATTGTACACATTGACTTTTATTTCGTAAACAAGAAAAATGTACTACCATAATAGACAAATTTTTCAGGTACGCTTGGGGAGTAACCATCCCAGCAAAGGAAAGCTTAAATATAGTCAAGGCAATAAAAAGTTGTATGGCCTTATTTGGAGTACCAAAAAAGATAGTTTGTGACCAGGGGATCGAATTCTCGTCGAACCTCTTCAAAGACTTTTGTAGGCAGTACGAACTAGAACTGCACACAACGTCATTTCAGCAGTCGTCGAACAACGCCACAGTCGACTGCACACAACAATTACAGAAATATACAGACTTATAAATGAAACTAAAAGGATAAATAGATTAGAAATCAGACACGAGGAAGTACTGGATGAGGCGTTTATAACGTATAATAATGCTATTCATTCAGCTACTAAATTAACACCACAAGAATTATTTACGGGAAGAACACATAACTTCTTAAATAATGTGTATTTTAACAACGAACACGATTATTTGCAAAAGATCAGTGCGTTCCAGGCAGGAGTGTACCCAAAAATCAAAGAAAGGGTAGAGCAGCAAAAGACTAGAAGAATAGAAACGGCAAACACAGGTAGAACAGAGCCGAGTCCGGTACAGACAGAAGATACGATATTTAGGAAAGAGAACAGGAGAGATAAGCTTACCCCTCGATTTACGAAACACAAGGTGTGGAAGACAATGGTCTGACACTAACATCAACAAGACCACAGAAGATTCATAAGCAGAAAATCAGAAGACTAACCAAACAAAATGAATAATAATTACAGGTGGTCAAGGACCATGGCGGCGGAAAGGACTTTTGAGTTCCGGCCGTTAGAAGGAGACGAGCCGTTGGCGCAGATAAATCTCTGTTCGGCAAGGATAATACAAACACACAAGACGTTTGTACACATAGTGAGGGTTCAAGAATAAATAAATTTATAAATGACGAGCAAAGCAGGGTAACCGCATTTAAAATTAATAATTACAAAAATGGAATAAGTAAAACCTTTTTAGAAAAAGATAAGAGGATTTATAGGCTAGAGTACATCGACAGAATTTTGGTAACAATAGACATGATCGAATTGAATATAAATGACGTAGCCGAAAGTTTGTTATTGGCTAAAATCGGATAAATTTCAAAATTCATTTTTGACAAACAAGGAACAGTTAAATGCATACAGGAACTAGAAGAACATGGCATACCGATAACATCAGAGGAACATATGTACGAATTTCTAGAATTTAAAGCAATTATGAATAAGACAGATTTAATATTTGCGATAAAATTACCCATTTTTTAAAAAGAAACGTATTCTTTACATAGAATTATATCACTACCTATGAATAAGACAGAATTTGTAATAAGACCGAAATACGTAATTAATAACGAAGAAATAATAATAATAACTACCAAAACAAATGTCAGAAAATTCGAAATTTATATATATGTAAGAACAACAAAATTGTAAATCAGATTAATGAAGATTGTTTAAAAACCTGATCAGTGGAAAGGAAGCGGATTGTGAAACAAGAGATGCAGGGCTTATAACCAGGATTTTTGAGCCAGAAGAAGGATATATTGCAATTATCAATGGAGAAAATGTAAGATTGCAAACGGACTGCGGAGAAGATAGAATGGTGAATGGATCGGCATTAATTGCATTTAAGGAATGCAGAACCATGATAAACAACGTCCAGTACAAGGCGGTGGAGAGACTTGGCACGGCGAAGCTAAAACTGAAGATACCCCAGATCGAAGCTATTAAGAAGAATAGAACTACCCAAGAATTGGGAATACACGAGCTAAGGATGGAAGGTATTGATACGAAACCACAGATCAACTGAATACGAACTAGAACAGCAATTCACACAACAGCGACGTATACAATGTTAACCATGTTACTGATAGTGGTGCTGGCTGTGGTCGGTTGTTCAAAAAAGACGACCACCTAAACTCCAGAAACGCCACTTACAACGTTCACACCAACTATTGCTCCAACTGCCACCTTCACACCTACCATTGCTCCACTATGGTCGGTAGTTCAGTCTGAGGGGGGAGGAGTTACCGTCTCAGCATTAGCCCTCGGCGGTCCTCCGCCGAAACCCCTCCGGCAGACACTCGAGTAAGCAGAGCTGGCCGGCAACTATGTTACCAAATAAGCATAACCAACTGGGCCGCATCGAACAACATGCATCCGGTCCGGTTTCACTTTTCCGCTAGGTCAGTAGATTTGTAAGTAGACGATAAGCTTCGAGCAAAAGATATAAGAATAAAGAATTCATTCTGAATTGCAACTGCAAAAAGACAAGTACTTTGAAATCTTTAATTACTGGTCGGAAAAATATCTCACAAGAACCTACAGATTAATACTGATCATAACTCGCGCATAGGTGTACCGCTGCACCAGCTGCGCTCTTAGGCGTTCTCTTCCTTATCTATTGCTCTCTCTCTCTTCTTCTTCTTTCGCCTTATCTATTATGCAAAACAACATTGTAAGGTAATACAGGGTGCGGCAAGAAAACTTGCTGATTTTAGAAGGTTATAAAAAAAAGTAGTTGACATACCATTCGAAATTTTTTTATTCTTGTAACACACATGCTGAAGTTTTCATTACACAGTTTTGAAGATTACATCGGACAAGTGAAGGCCGCCGTTTTCAATGCACTGAGATACCCGATTTTCGAAGCTCAGCTGAACTGTCTCAAGCATATCGACGGGTATCTTTGCGATTACTTGCCGAATGTTATTCTCCGATGAGCTGGATGGGATTTTGTCACATTCCCGCTCTCCCTGAATGTTTTCACCTAGGAAACAATCGACTGCCGGCCAGGAACGCGACCTGCAGGATGAATGTTGAGTTGAGTGGCAATTACGAAACGACCGTTGGAAAAGTAAGCCTCACAGGAAAATGCGCACTGCTTTTTCGTCGATTGTTGTAATTTTTAATTGTGTTAATTTCTCCGTCGTTCCTATGGCGGCTATATAATATAGTAGTCCGATTTCCATAAAACATGGACACAAAATTGTAGAAAAATATAAAATGGCTATATCTTAAATTTGATGAAAATCTGTTAAAAATTTAAAACTTTATAATTTTTTTTGTAAAGATTTTCCGATTGTTCCTATGGCAGCTATATAATATAGTCGTCCGATTCGGCCCGTTCCGACATATGTATATATATACGAGTGAGAGTATTTAGAAGACTAACTAACAAAGTTTCACTCAAATAGTTTGCGTAGGAACGGACAGACGGACATGGCTAGATCGACTCGGCTTTGGATGCTGATCAAGATATTTATGCTTTATATGGTCGGAGGTGACTCTTTCGCTGCGTTGCAAACTGGGAAATCTCCACAATGTTGTGTATTAACGAACTAAGAACGAATCGAATTAACAGGATAACGTTACGGGGATGAGTGGATTATTCATCAGGACAATGCACCGATTGAATATGAACGTAAAACAAACGACTTTTTATAGCTAAACCTTTATTGCAATGGTTATCGTGCTTCCCGAATCTAAACCCAATAGAAGATATTTGGGGATATTTTTGCAATAAATTTTATACGAATGGGTGCCAGTTAAATGTTTAAATGAGTTTAAGATGGATTTATTTAAGAAATGCGATATAATTAAACCTACATCTCCTCAAAACTACATTGTTCTAAAAAAAAAGATAAGCATCTTAATTATTTAACCATTTTGTATACCCTTTAAGATTGCAATTAGATCATTAATAAATAATTGTAAATACAATAGTTAGGTTTAAGTGGTGAGGTTACCCTGGTAACCTCCAATTATAGCTGGGCTCTGAACGTTTTTATAGCAATTTTCAGAAAATGAAAATCAAAATTCTACATTCTACACATGGTGTTATCTCGAAGAAGATGAAAATATGTTGAAAACTAAAAATTTTTAGATTGTTTCTATTACAGCTATATGATATAGTCGTCTAATCCGATTATATTATTATTCTAATTATAGAGTGGTGAGAATGTATAGAACTAACTGCAAAGTTTCATTCAGATGATCAAGGAAAAGTTTTCTTTGCAGTTTGTTGCAAACTTCGGACTAATATTAAAATACGCTGAAAGGGTGTAAACATTTGCGTTCTAAGTTTATTTTTAAGTACACATATACTTTTATTCATGATGTATGCTAAGAACAAAGTAATTAAATTTTTATTTCTCATGTTTCGGTAAGGTTTTATTCGGAGTGGTAGTAAAAAACAAAGGAAAACAACATGATGTATGAGTACAAAGTGGACTAGAATTGAAGATTAAGGAAGGCTACGGGAATATAAGAAAACAAGGAGGAGTATACTAGAGTAGAACGGTATCCTTTGGTTTGCACCCCAGTTTAAAGAAAGTGTTTTTAAACTGATTCGATGCGTTTACTGCGGACGTCATAGAGATTAGACGAACCAATGAAGTATATAAGGTTTTCCTTAAGTAATATTAGTAATTCAAATTCATTCAACCACAATTTTTAAGTACACCCCTGGGTCTTTGTCTTTGGTTATTATACAATAGGTCAATATAGAACGTAGCATTCTTCCTGCGTTTATTTATAAATACTGTACCTAATTGCAAACTGTAAGGTTATCTAAATTCTTAAAGCACAAACTTTTTAAAAATCAATATTTAGGAGAAACATTGAAGTTTCTAGTGTATAGCAAACTTTATCACGCGTTATAAATATCAGGGCTTAAAACAAGCATTTTTTAATTATGCAAGTCTTTATAAAGCATTTTAGATAAGGGGCTTCAGTAAATATGACATTATAACTTTTAGCTCTATACTATCTCTGAGCATATTCGATAATTTGTCCGAGACTCGGGTAAATAATAATACTCTTCCGATTTAGCCAGGTAAAGGAAAATATTTTTTAGTTTCAAAAGCGATTTATGGTTATACCACCTGTGTTATTTATTAAACATGCTGTATGTGAGAGTTAGGTTAAAAACTTATTTTGTTTTACTTACTTATAGGCATATTCCAGATTGTCGCCACATCCGCCCCAGGACCAATCGTCATGAAGCTGATTCGGCCGAGTGCCGCGAGAACAACCACAGGAAGCTAATTGGCCATCCCTACAAGCACGTGCTATAAAACTAGTCACAGTTGCGGACGCAAGAGCATGAATAAATGCCATTTCCGGTGCCGCTAAAATTATTAAATACAACAATGTTATTAAGTTTTACGTTATCATTGACGAAATGGTACGATCAGTTAGAGGTACCCCTACAGAATACCACAAAATCCCTCTGCATCTATAAAAATAGTAAATAGTAACACAATAAAAAAATTTTAAGACCCTTCAGTACCAAAATTCCTTTCCTGTCCGATTCCTGGTGTCATGTTCGAAAACCAAAAGAGAGAATTCCGGCTTCTGCCGATGGTTTGATTTTATATTTATACCTTTGCAGGGTATTATAATTTCCGTCAGAAGTTTGCAACGCAGTAAAGGAGTCACCTCCGACCATACAAAGTATATATATATATATATATTTCCAGCATCAACAGCCGAGTAGCCATGTAGCATCAACAGCCATGTCCGACTGTCCGTCTGTCCGCTTCTACGCAAACTACTCTCAGTTTTTAAGCTATGTGAATGAAACTTTGTAGATAGTCTTCTATATACTCTCACTCGTATATATGTCGGAACGAGCCGGATCGGGCGACTATATCGTATAGCAATAACCTTTTTTAGTTTTTAACAGATTTGCATATAATTTAAAATATAGGAGTTCTGAAACATTTTAAAATTTTGATTTTAATTTTATTAAAATCGGAAAAATATATCATATAGCTGCAACAAAACCGATCGGCAAATTTTTAGAAAAAAATTAAACCTTTTGCAGATTTCATTAAAGTTGAAATACAGGAGTTTTTAATCGTTTTAGAATTTTGTTTTTAATTCTCTTGGACGTTGATGCACTAAGGTCAGTACATTCAAGTGGCCCGTATGACACCAGGCACGTGCCTGTTTGGGTTAGGTGTTAGTAGGCGCGACGGTAAATATAGGACAGAATACGAGGGAATTGACTACCGGCGTATAGGATCTAGTAGTTCTACATGGTACATGGAAATTAAGTTGACTCAACAAGTCAGCATTTTCCACATCACCATGTATGAGGTTAAAAATAAAGGTTATCACTAGCATCGTTCTATGATTGGCTAAGGACGGCAAGTTTATTAATAGGAGTCTTTGGTTTGCATCCCAATTTAAACCGCGTAGAGCGAAATGTAAAAAGTTCTTTTGAACCGACTCAATGCGTTTACTATGGACACCGTACTGAGGGCTCCAAACGCAGCATTCATATTCTAGGATAGGACGAACTAAGGAAGTATATAAGAATTTAGTAACATAGTGGTCATTGAATTCCCTCGACTACCGCCTAATAAATCCAAGCACACCCCTGGCTCTATTCACCATAGACGAAATATGATCAATAAAGTCAAGTTTTGGATCCAAGCGGACGCCCAAATCGTCAACTGTATTAATTCTTTCCAAAGAGCAGCAGTTCAGCGTGTAAGTAGCAAGCTTAGGAGCGACACGAGAGAATGTCATTAGCTTGCATTTCGAGCCATTTAAGTTTAATAAGTTTACACGGCACCAAGTTTGAAAATGATTAAGATCTGTTTGTAAATCCGACTGGCAGGCGACGTCATTGTATTGCACGCAAAGCTTGACGTCATCCGCGTACATAAGTACTCTGGAGTTAGTCAAGACTTTGGGCAGGTCATTTATAAATAATGTAAACAATAAGGGTCCCAAATGGCTTCCTTGCGGGACGCCAGATGTAACCCTTAGAACATTGGATAAATTATTTTTAAAGGGGACCTTTTGCGTCCTGCCATTCAAATATCTTGAGATCCAATTAAGAAGATCACTTGGAAAACCCATTGAATCGAGTTTTCTAACGAGGAGAGAATGGTTAACAGAGTCAAATGCATTACTGAAATCAGTATAGATTACATCTGTCTGACAATTATTATGGAAGCCCTTTATAATATAGGAAGAGAGCTCCAAAAGATTTGTTGTTGTTGATCTTCGCTTCATAAAACCATGTTGACATGGAGAAATAACCGATCTACAAAGGTGCTGCAAGTGAGGGGTGATAATGTTTTCAAATAATTTAGGGATGGCCGACAACTTAGAGATTCCTCTATAATTGCTCTATAATTCCTCCAATTTGCTACCTTTTTTGTGGAGAGGAATAATAAACGATTCCTTCAAAATAATGGGAAAGTTGGAGGTTTCTAAGGACAAAGTAAAAAATTTTAGAAGGGGATAGCACTGGGCGTCGGCACAATACCTAAGCACACAGCCAGAAATATCGTCGGGACTTGGCGAATAAACTGGCTTGACATGATGAAGATCTAAAAGAATAAAGCTTTCGTTTAGGCTAGGACAGAAAATTAAGTTTGATTTGGGTATGACGTAGGAATAGGTCTGTATAATTACGAAGAGCTAGAATAGGTTGTTTGAAAAAACTGCGAAAATAGATCGGCTATTGCCTGATCATTATTTGCATTACTATTTTCAAATGAAAGCGAGGAGGGATTTGTTTTAGGCTTACGTTTAATGTTAACGAGATTATAAAACTGTTTTGGGTCCTGTGAGAACTGGGCCCTACAACGAGTTAAATAGTTTTTATAACACTGCGCGTTCAGCATAGTAAAATTTGACCGAGCTGATAAATAAGATGAAAGGGCAGATTGAGAACCGGTGAATTTAAATTTAGCATATTCTTAAGTCGGCTGAAGTCCTTAGTAAACCACGGCGGTTTATTCTAGCTTGGCGGATAATATAACGGAACACATTCAGTAAAAAATGAATTCATGGAACTGTAAAAAATATCCACGGCAACTGCCATGTTAGTGCACATGTATAGATCGGACCAATTGAACTCGTTTATAAAATTATTCAGCTGTTCAAAGTCCGTCTTACGAAGACAGGACTTTATTGGCTGGACGGTCAGAAACATTCTCTACGTGACACCCGATATCAAGGGTCACATCGAAAGTTGGATGATAAGGATCTTCGGGCTGCGTCATAGGCGCCACCCTTGCTAAACTGACTCTCGCAGGATCAGAGACGAAGCAAAGATCGAGCAAGCGCTGTAAGGAATTTCGAACATGGTTGACTTGAGACAGCGAAATGTCAAACAAGCCAGCGATAAAGTCATGTTGAGTAGGTGTATGGAGAGTATTGGTGGAATTATTTGAGCAGCAAATAGTACCAGGGATATTAAAATCTCCTAGGACTACCAACTGGTCTTTATCCAAAAGTTTACTGGAAACCATCTGAATAGCGGAAAGGTGATTCCAATAAATAAGATGTTTCGACAATAGAGGTATGTAGGAACAGGTAATAAAAATGAAGCTACATTTGATAGATAGCTTCACACAGAGGAATTCAACATCGTTGCATTCCTCGAAAGTTAATAATTCTGACGTGAGTGATGAGTCCACCGCTATAAGAACTCCACCCTCGCGTCTGATATGGCGATCTATCCGATATACTGTGAACACAGCTGGAAAAACTTCGGAGCTCAGAATCTCCGGCTTTAACCAGGTTTCTATGAGCACAAGAACCTGAGGTGCAAACGAAAGGCTATCAGAATACAAGTTAGGAAGCTTACTACGTAAGCCTCTTGCATTCTGATTGGAAATACCTAGAGAGTATGTTAGTTTTTTGGGTCGGGATTGGAAGACGTAGAACGCGCAGTGGTATGATCAGGCCTGGGAAGAGTTATTCCTATAGGCCGCTTTTTCTTTTTCTTCGTTAGGAGAGCAAATAGTGTTAAAGAGCTCGTTAGGGATATTTAATTTGAAAGATGAAATATCCCTAGAGTAAGAAAATTTAAACTTTTCCACCTTTATCTTTAATTTATCGGCTTTGGTGTTGCCTTGTATAAAGGCGAGAACATCTTCCGATGTTTGATCAGGGGAGAGCCGCGAAACAAAAATATGTCTCGTAGGTGGATCCGCTAAAAGGGCTTTTGGCAAGGCAGATTGGTTATCTGCCGTGCCATTGTCGGCCGGTATTCCGGGCCTAACACTCTTGGCAGATATATTTGTGTGCACGGGACTTGGAGGGGTCAATATTTGCGACCCCCCCAGGGGACAAAACAGAAATCACCGGCGGTACGGGCACTCCCGCTGCACATTCGGGTGCCGAATCTTTTCTAGCGCTCGATCTCAGCACTCTTGGAATTAATGCTGAGGTCGAGGGCTGTGCCGAGGGAGGCTGCTGCTGAGAGCCCGTTGCAGGTAGTTGGGGTCCGTCTACATGCTGCCCACCAATAGCATTTTTTTGCGCCTCGGAGACTCATTTAATAGCGTAAGGCTATTAAATTGGGCGTCTAGCGCCAAGAACATATCAAGAGTTTTACGAAAACTCGTTAAAATGCCGTTAAAACCGTATTTGGTTTGCCGCATGAAAGACATCATTTCCCTTTCTACATCGCAACAGGCCTCACAGCAGGCCGATGTTTTTTTTTTACATCGTCCACCTTCCGAGCTGAAACTCCAATACACTTGGCGTGCATGACGTTGTCGCACAGCCAGCAGCCGATTGTAGGGTCACCTGTTGAAATATCCTTTTTGCAGGTTTTGACGAAACAGACAATATTTACGGACATTATAAGGACTTACCACTGTACTTTTACTTGGAAAAAGAAGAGGAAAAAAACAAGAGAGCTATGAAAAAGAAGTGAAGAAGTCACAGCGAGAGCGAGAGAGTGGGAGAGCGTGGGAGATCAGAGAAAATAAGAAGTGCAGCGACACAGCTAAAGCGAGAGAGTGGGAGAGGGTGGGAGATAAATAGATAACAAAAACGTTTAGCTGTTGCGACGCCGCAAACAAAAGCTGAACAAAGAAGGCACAAAAAGGAATGCAAAATATGCTAAAGCTAGCACTAGCAGCACAACTAAATTGGAAAATAAAACCAATTATATACACAAATTAGAATAGCTGCATGCGAAGTGAACGGGAAGTTATAAACACAAATTAGAAAATTTAAGTTAACCCCGGTGGTTAGATTCAAACTTTAATACAAAACGACAAGCGCAAGAAAAAACACGTCCGTTCACTTGGAAAGATGAAAGATATTTATTATGAAAATCGAACGACTATATCATAAAGCTGCTGCAA